TCTATCTATCTATCTATCTATCTATCTATCTATACACACACACACATACATATAAAACATACAAAAATGTTATGTTGAAGATAAATAAATAAAAACTAAAATAAAAATGGACCTGAAACTCATCAAAGCACAGCAGACAGGCCTCCTCGCTGATCTCCTCAGCTACTGGAGCTATGGGATCATAAGATTTGGCCATTTTTCCTGCCTTCCTTTTGGGCATGCTCTGCTTCAGCCGATGGATCCCTAAAGAATGAAAACAGGACAAGTTCAGCCTGATTTATACTTTATATTGTTTTAGATTTAAAATTTCAGTTTTTGTTCAGGAGGTAGTTATAGCCATTTTGATGAAACTCTGAAAATGATAAGCTCTGGCTGTGTGTTGTGAATGACTCTCAGCTACTACCACACCAGATTTTAGCTTAGTAGAGACTGCATTAGAGCCATGAGTCTGTGTGAAGCTCAGTCAGGTTAAATGAGAGCATAGAGGTTCTGAAGCACCAAAAGATCTGCTCACGTTGATGAACATCCAGCATGAAGCCATGGAAGTGAACCCTCTTCTTCTTCTCTGTCTCCACATGAGAATAAAACATGTCCATCACCATGGTCTTCCCTGTCCCTGAGACAAGAAACAGTTTCAATACTTAGAACAGAAAGGAAAGAAACTCGTGTTTGGTAGATTATTTATATGCTTCTTGCCAATAAATCTTGTGATTGGCAGCACCTGGGGGGACCAGAAGCTCAAAACAATAAGCTAAATTAGTTGTTTTCCAATAGAAAAGCAGATCCGGTTAATTCTTCATGTGTACGGCCCACCTACTCAGCTCTACAAACGCTTGTTCCTTACAAATGTGGCAACATTTAAAATGGAAATAAACAGGCTTTCAAATGGCATAAGATTTATTGCCAAGAAGCTTTGTTACAACAAAGACATTTAGTGCCAGGTTTAAACATGTCACAACAAAAAACCTGTTCGATCCAGATGTGTAACGTGTGTGTGCTGCTGCTCTCACCAACGTCACCGTAGATGTAACATCCTTTAGGAGGCATCGGTTTGGTGAAAAACTAAAAGATGCAAACATATAACAGAAAAAAAAAGAAATTAGAAACTTGAAAACTAAATGAGACATCTGTGATGTGGCATAGAGACATGCTGAGTGAAAGAAATAAAAAAAAACTGTTTTAATGTCTAATTTAAATGATTTATTAAGAGGTGGGCTTTGAAACTCCTAAAAGATATTTTAAATATATTCTGGGGATAAAAGGGGCAGACAATAAGATTTATCCTTCTTCTGCTACCTTTCATTTTATTTTGATTTTTGATTTGTGTATTGTCTTTGTTTTCTATTGTATATACCATATTTATTCATGTATAATACAATCTCATGTATAATACGACCCCCCCTCCTTTTTTTGAGCTTAAAAAGCATAAAAAATTTAATCCTCAAACTACCTCCAACTTCATACAGACTTCAAGATTTTTCAGTCTTTGCAGTCTTTATACATATCAGTAAAATGATCATTGGACTGTTCATTTTATTTTAACAACATATGTACTAAAAGGTATTTTGACAACAAATATATATCAGCTGTAGCAGCATCATATGAATTCTGACATTTTACACATAGTCCACCAGGAGGCGCCAACATAAAAGTCAGAGACTTCACATGAGATTTGGGCCATCTTGTGGGGGAAAAGCAGATTACTTCCTACTCGCAAGCGCCCCCTCTGGTGGGGAAACGTTTTTTCAGGAATACAAACTTTTTATATAAGATATAAATCAGGTATAATCTCACCTGTAAAATGTGTTAAACTGATCGTAAACATGACAGATCAGGTAACATGTTTGTTAGTAAACAGAACCATAGAAACGTGTGTGTTTGTACCCTGGAGAAGAGGGATGTGGGTGTGTTGCTGTATCCTCTCAGGGTTCGGTGAAGCTGGTCCAGTTTCTGCAGAACCTCTCTCTGGTGCTCGTCCTCCCGCAGGGTCCCAGCTCGGATTAATCCGCTGTAGTGATCCAGAGGCCCGCCGAACCCGCCCCCCTGCTCCTCCGCCACCCGGCCCACCGCCACGGAATGACCTGATGACACAGGTGTTACACCATATTTTGTGACCGTCATATATTGTGACCAGAGGGGGCACTGTTGCGTTTCTACAACAGAACTTGGACGAACATGACCACAAAGAAGAATATGATACACCAAAAGTGACAGCTGTTATTAGAGCTGGGCGATATGATCAAAATTTTATATCACGTTATTTTCAACATTTTCACCGGTTTCACGGTATTTGACGGTATTTTTCTTTTCATCACAGCTCAGCTGATAATAAAACGTACAAACCCTGCTTATTGAGTTTTTTTCTTTTACTGTACCTCTGTCTGAGTCGCTGTTTCCCTCCTCTGTGTCTGTTCTTCTCTGACTGGTGGTTGGAGACAGTAGTCACGTATTTTCATCCAGTCGTGAAGGAGGAGGGTTAAGAAAAGATTATGATTGGGTTTATTGTTTTATGTTATTTATTAAAGCTTATCAGCACGACTCACCTTGCACACCAGTCAATTCCAACTTCACTACAAACTACTTCCTGCAGGCTTTTCACAAAAAAACCACGTTAAGTCTCCATCAGCATAACGTCTCCATATTAACTAACCGCGTTAAATCTAACTGTGCACGTCACTGAAGAGGTGTTTACTACATTCAGCGACAGCGAAAACGGGATGTTTTTTTAAACGTCAGTCAATATAAGCAGCGGAATCGCCACCCGCGGCTGCAACTAGCTGCTCCAAACATTAGCATGCTAACGCACATAGCAGTGCAGCAAGGAAAAATGTCCACCGGGAAACAACGGTTCACTGGCGGCTGCAACAAAATGTTCCACTATTTAAACTGGAAAGTCCGGTATTCAAAAAATTCATGTCATAACAAAAATAAAAACCGGTATTCGGTACAAAACGGTATATCGCCCAGCACTAGCTGTTATCATGTATTGCGACTTCACTATAGCTTGGTGAATAGTAGAAATATTTCTTCAAAAAACTTTCTACTCATAGTTTACATCAACAAAAACAATTTTAAAACATCAACAATCAGCAGCAGATGCAGTTTTTTATAGATTTTGTCACTATTTACCAAGCTAGAGTGAAGTCACAATATATGATAGCAGCTGTCATATTCTGTGACCATGTATATCAGTCAACATGTTTTATTTTTATTTTATTACTTTTATTTTTTTGCGTATGTGTCTTCAGCCTCTGATCAAAGGCTACACTTTTGGCGTAACATATTCTTCTTTGTGCCCATGTTCGGCCAGGTTCTGTTGTAGAACTGCAACAGCGCCCCCTCTGGTCACAATACATGATGGTCACAACATTTGGTGAAACCAAGGAGGTTCTATGGAACAGCTGGAGCGCAGAAACCAGGTGAACATGTGATCGGCTGGAGAAGCTAACGGCTAACGCTAAACGGTCAAGAGTCTGGATTTCCCATCACTGTACATGTTGACAACAGAGCAGAAAAAAGGACTGATGATGTAGAAATCATTAAAACTATTAATAATAATATTAATCCAA